CAAGAGTCCTGCTGTAAAAATGATTATTAATAGAATGTAAGGAATTAGGAACCAAAGTGGATAACAAAACATGACTTAGCCTGTTAACTGTGCTGCGAGGCCGTTGTGAGACGGAGACGGGTAGGCGACAGAAGATGAGATGACCACTCAGAATGATCAGATTTAGGGCTGGGAGGGCACCTCTTAGCCTGAGTGATGTGAAACCAGGATGGCAGTCCAGCAACTTTGATTGCTGTTGAGGTTACCAAGAATATCAGGTATGGGTCGCTGTAACCTGGTTGTAGTTCTTGGAATGACTTGCTGCAACAGAACTTTAGCAAGATATCAGCAGTTTCCCTGGTTATGAGAAAGGCTTTTATGTATACTGAAAAAGTATAAACAAAGTGAGAAAACAAAATATATCTGTCAGTCTTGACTAGGGTTACCTGAGAAATTGGTGAATAAGAAAGGAAGGCGGTGGTCTTATATCACTGAGGAGAGGTTTACTAGCAATAACAGGTGGAAGCTGTTGAGGCCTCAGTGTGTCTAAGTTAGCCTGTATATTTAGGACTGGGACCTGCACGAAATAGGCCCTGTTTGTAAATGGCATAGGTTGACCATCAATACCCCGTCATAGAGATTGAGGACTTAATATAGCAGCCTGAAAACTCAGGAAGAACTCTGTATATATGGCCTCTATTAGGATCTCTCTAAGGTTTGAAGGTCAAGCTTTGCCTTTTCGTTTGGGATTTGGACTACAGTAGAATTAAGTAAGTATGTAGGAGTTTTGGCATTTGAGATCAGAGAGTAGGCTTTATCTGGATGGCACACTGCTTTTTTTTTTTAATAGGGTGCCACATGGAATTAACAAAAAAGGCTTTAGTCTGCCCAAAAAGGCTTTAGTCTGCCCTCTCTCTTTTGGAGTATAATCTCATTTTAATGGAAACATTTAGCAGTAAAGGTTTACCAATCTTATGAATACTTTTACCAAAACTGATCTAATATTTTCAAATTCTGAACACATTTATTTGTTTTTAAACCTAAACAGGAGATTGGTGACAACAGAGTATAATGCAGGCAATAAGCCGCAGGCAATAAGCTCAACATATAACAGTAGTGGTGGTCCACAGCAAAAGGAATTGATAAATATCTTTTAATTTTAGTCGTTAAGACAGGAGACTAGTGAAGGCCTTGATTGATAAACAAGGCTGGTAAAATTATCAGGTGGCCAATAACCTTGATAAAATGGTTTAAGAATTGTAATAAAAAAAATAGCATCTTTTGAGCAGAGCTGAATTGTAAAAGCACTCCTGAGCAGAGCCGCTGAGCTGCTGTTTTGCGGCACACCAGCAGAGCACCCCCAGGTGGGGGTGGGGCGAGCATTGGGATGTAGCACACAGGGGTGGGCTGGGACTGGGACTGCCCCTGGAAACACATAAGGCATCGGTGGGGTGACCATGACACACCAGGGAGGGAGGGACTGAGACGGTGCATGGGGAGGGCCTGGGAGGCGGCCTGATGCAACACATGAAGCTGGAACTGCTCTTGGGGTTGAGGATTAGAAAGCCAATTTAGGAACACAGCTGGGTTTTGATTAGCCTCCTGGACCTGTTGTAAAAGTTTGTTGTAGTTAGTGTGCTTGTGAGCAATATTGTTAAGGCCCACAATCAGACATTTAATCACCTTATGTAATTTTGTTGAACCTTGTTCATTATGATGGTTCCAGTTAGGATCTTATTCTGGCACAGCTACAGGTCCAGGGTCATTATCAGCGGTGTTTGCCTTATGCCTGCGGTCAGCTTCTTTGCAAGCTGCTTGCCACAGCTGATTCTGTTCTTGTGAGCTGAGAGTGGTATTTAGAATCACATAAACATCCTTAAAATGTAAATCATAACAATTAGTAATAAATTGAAATTGCCTGATATAATTCTGTGGGTCAGCAGAGAAGCTACCTAATTTATGGGTAATCTGAGACAGATCAGAAAGGGAAAAGGCACGTGTATATTAACAAGTCCCTCAGGGCCAGCTTGCTCCTGAAGTGGTAGCAGAGCCTGAGGAGAAGATTGTGGAGTAGAGGGCCATTGGGCAACTATCCGTCTGGTAGATGTGTGCAAGCAGTTATCTGTAGAGCAGCTACAGGGCGGTTGCCAGTTATCCTGGGACGAGGAAACACAGGCAGATGGCGTATCACTGTGTGCCTTGCAGTGAGAGAATTGCTGTCAGCAGCACAATGAACCATCATGTGGACCATAACAGGGTGGCTGTTGCTGTTCACAAGAGGAGCCACAAGGGGGCGCCCATTGACTGTGTGTTCCATCACAAGATGGTGGCGCCTTGTCACGTGGCAGAGGGTTGCAACCTGGCGACCATTCCCGGCGCAAGCTGGAACAGTCACGCAGCTTGCAGAAGGACATAGCGACTGAGATTGGATGTGGTGGGTGGGCGGCGAGAATGCTGTAGAGGTCAGAGAATTATTAGGAGAAAGAGTCGGAGACTTTGATGAAGCGCTAACAGAGTGATTAGAGTTGCTGGGAGAGTTATGGGTCCCGGCAGGTGGAGAGGGAGACAATCACACAGCGGGAAGTAACTGTGACGCATTGGGACCAGGACCGCTGAGAGAATCAGACATAGGGGAAGGGAAGAGCATTCTGGCGGGAAGTAACGGCAGGGAACGAGTTTGGGGGTAGGCAGGCGGAGGCCGGGAAAAGACCGGGGGAACGTCGTCAAGCGAATCCTGAAGGCAGGATGGAAAAGTTCGCGGCACAGTAGACTTAGCTAAAAGTATCTGAGTGGGAGCACAAGATTTAATGAGAGATGGGCGTGTTCTCAGAATAAGAAAGGCCTGAATATAAGGGAGTTCTAATAACTTGTTGCCGGCCTGACAGAAATCATACAAGTTTCTGAGAATGCAGGGGTCAAATGTTCCTACCTTGGGCCAACAATTGCCGATAAGCAGATAGGTGGGCCAGACCTCCCAGCAGTAAAAAGTTAATTGTTTAGATTTTATGGTACTTTTAATTTTTAAAGTATGTAAATTGGAAATTAAGCCTTGTAAAGGCATCTTTGGGAGTTAGAAAATAGGTTCCCATGACTGATTCAGGCAAAAATAAGCCATGGTCCAGAGAACAAGCCATCACTTGTTTGTGGCACCACACGGCAGCTAAGGTCCCAAAAACTTGTATATTCCAGTCGTCACTGAGAGATTTACAAGTGGGGCCCACGTGAGGTGAGTAACAGTTTTGCCCGTGAAAGCGCAAGGCTTTAAGGGAAGTGAGGGTCTTTCAGTGTGGGCAGTCCAAAAATCTCTGCTTTGGGCTATCTAAACCCAAAGAACGTGAGAGATTTTAGAGTGTGGACACAGGTTTGCCCAGAAAGAACCCTGCCCTGTCCTAAGGATGTGAAAATGCACAGACCCACGCAAATGGGGAGAACAGTCAACTGGGACTGCCCAGTGCCAAGAGTTCCCCAGAGAGTGCTCACCTGAAATCAATCTGGCTGATGGTGAGTGCATGTGGCTGGCGACAAGGATGTCTTGGGAGAGGAAAAAGCGCGGAGTTAATCCAGGATATCATCCGGTTCGTGAATCGGCTGGGGGACTCAACTGGGTGTGTCCCAGGAGTCAATCGCCTGCCAATCGAGTCATGGCACCAAATGCTAGGATTATTTCCAAAAGATGAGGAGTATAAAACAAAAAGCAGCCTTTATTCTGAGAACACGGAGAGAGACAACTGGCACCCCCCACCGCTGGCGTCCGGAGATCTCTCCAACGGACACGTGGCATGGGGGGTATGTAAGTAGCCTTGGTTTGGGGTGGAACCTAAGGGGGCATCAGGGATGCATGGGTAGCCCATTGGTCCTATGTTTGGCGCCACAGGTAAATTCCTAGGGGTGGGGGAGATAGGGGCTTCCTGGTTCTGGTTACAGTGTCCGGCCTGGGCCAAAAGCCTTTCAGCTCCAAGGCAGTGTGCTGGGACCCCTGAGAGGGCAACTGTTCATGGTGGCCACAGGAGACAAGAATGAGAAGTACAAAAAGGGGGACAGCACGCCTCCTTCCCTCCCCTGCCACTGGACAGGTGCAGCACTCACACCACCAGTCCCAGCGCTGGATAGTGAACCAATCACAAACGCTAGACTCAGTCGCCTCTATGACTGCATGAGGCTTTGGGGGACACTTAAACAAACCACAACACCTCTCGTGTATCAGTGACCTGTGGCTGCATAACAAAGTGCCCCAAAACTTAGTGGTTTCTGTTGTACTAAAATGCTAAAAAGATAATTATTAACAAAAAATAGTTAGTTAAAAAGATAGTTATTAGCAGTATTGTCATTCTATGCCGTCCTTGTTACCCTAGTAACTAGGAAGCACCAACCACATAGTTATGGATTAACTGACCGCGTCTTCTCGCTGTTCTATATGCATCATTGCCTTAGTAACCTGTTTGCTGTGTCAACCTTTGTTTCCTTTATGAGAGACAAATGTTCCTGGAATTGGCAGACCAAGGGCTATGAATTGGCTAACTACCCACTGCAAAATGCCTCTGACCTCAAGCAAAGCAGAACAAAGGCCCACCTTGTTTCTGTTTCTCATCACTATGTACTTAATGGCCAATGGGCTAATCATAAATGAACTATAAAAATCTGTCAAAAGTCTTGCACAGCTTTGCAAACTCCATCTGCTCTGTGCCACTGGCTACCAGCTTAAATAAAGCGCTCTTCTACAGACATCTTGCCCCCTTGACAACAGACAACAGACAACATCACAGGGCTTGTTTTTTAGTGGGGTACAACAGCTTCAACAAATATCATTTCCTAGGAGTTTCCTAATTAGGTTGACAAGAATAATCATCACAACACCTCAGTTCTTCTTTAGTAAAGTGTTCTAGAGGTCAAACAAACAAGAGCACACACGTAAGCAGAGGTAAACAGCAAGTGTGCATCCATGTGTGTTCTTCTAGCTGGTGGTGCTCCGCTGCAGTCCCTCAGGGCACCTCTGACAATGTCCAGAAACGTTTTCTATTACCATGACCGGGTGAGGCACCGGCGCTGTTCCTCTCTAGCATGTGGAGGCCAGAGATGCTCCAGAAGATTCCACAGGGGACGGGACAATCTTCCACAACAAAGAAGTACTTAGCCCCAGGGGTCCATAGTGCCAAGGTCAAGAGAGCTAGGTGTGGCGGTGCTGCAGTGCTAGCCCACCTCCCCTGTGCTGGGGACCGACCCCAGCCTCCTCCTGGCTAAGCCAGTGCTCTACCTGAGCAAAACTGCCTCATCGGGCAGCATCCTCCTGGGACTGCACTGCTGCCCCAGGACTGCAGGGTGGGCAGCCATGGGCCCCAAGACTTGGTTTCACTTCTCTCCTTTCTCAGTAGCTCCCAGCCTGGTGTTCTCCACCCCACCTCCCAGTGCCTGTCCACAGGACATCAAAGCTGTAGCATCAATGGGCTGAAAGCGTGACATGTCTGGGGTAGACAGAAATGGACCCAGGCTGATCCTAGGCTGAGGCTGGGCCTACTTCTCTAAAGAGACAGAAGCTCACGCTCCTTGTGGTGAGAGCTGAAATTGCCATTTCCTGCCATCCAAAGAGGAGGGTTAGAAGAAGACCTGATTACCTGTCTGTAACTTGCACTTTACAAAGGAAGAGAAGGACCAGTGTTGGGTTGGCTCCTCTCAGCCTCAGCCCGCAGTCTGCCCCGGCACAGCCTCACAGGATGCTGACATGAAGACTATGGGCTCCAACCAGGGGTAAGGATATCATTCCTGTGGGCTCCGGGGTAGGCAGGGGTTGGGGTTTCCCAGTGCCCTGATCAGGGCAGATTCACTCCAGGTACAGGGCAGGTGCAGGGGGAACTCAATGAACCCACACAGCACAGTGTGCTGGGACCCCTGAGAGCTAAAACCAGTCGGCCAGCTTTGCTTACACAATATAAGGGCTTGGGGTGTGGCACTCGCCTGGCAGGCCAAGAACTTGGGTTGGTCCCAGCACCACAGAACAAGCAACAACCAAAATGAGTTGGGGCCTGCAGAGCTGAATCCACCCTGCGTGCATCGCCCCGCCCCTTCTCTTCTTTACCCAGACAGCGTCGTTTATCATTTGTGTTCCACCCGCAAAGAAACTGAAGATCACAGAGGTTGTTCTGTGCCCAGCAGCACAGCTAGGAATCACCTCTGTGATTCAAGTCGAGTTTGTTTTGCCAGTTTAACCTTTCCCGCCGTGAGGATCCCGAACAGGTAGCAGGCAGCACACTAAGAATTTTCTGCTGTCTGCTGGACTGGAGCAGCTATGTTGGTTATATGCACCAAGCTGGGCATGGTGGCACATACATCTTGTGCCAGCTACTCAGAGACTGATACAGAAGGATCAGAAGTTTGGGAACGACTGGGACAATTTAGCCAGACCCTGTCTCAAAGACTAGAGAAATAACTTGGTCTTCCATGTGCTCAATCCAGACTTAGTGGCACACGCCTGTAATCCCAGCACCATGGGAGGCTGAGGCAGGAGAACTTCAAGTTCAAACCCAGCCTGGGAAACTTAGCAATTTAACGTGGTGCTGTCTCAGATTTTAAAACTAAGAAAGGGCTGAGTGTAGCTCAGTGTGAAAGCCCTGGGTTTCATCCCTAGTACCTCAAAAAAAAAATTTATCTCAGAATCACACGGGAAAACTTCTTCAGAATAAACATTTAAGGCCTCAAGTAAATATACAAATGTCTTGTTTGTTTTTTGGGGTGCTGAACTCAGAGCTTCATGCTTTGCCAGGCAGGCACTGCACCACTGAGCAAATTCCTGACCCATTCAAGTAAATATATTTTGACTCAGGTATGGTGGCACACGCCTGTAAACCCAGAACTCTGGAGACTGATGCAAGAGGCCAGTTTGAGGCCAGTCTGGTAGTGAGAGCCTCCTTCAAAAAAAAAAGTTATGTTCTGAAAAAGCTCAGTGATAGTTCTGACATACCGTTCTAGTTACATCTTCTTTATCTAAGCCCCCTTGAATGGATGCGCATGGAGTATGGGACTTGGTATGGGGCAGCTATGATGCAGAAGTCTACAGTTTTGGCCCTTGTCTTTCTACTCATTTAGTTTGCAATTTTGGACAAGCCATTTCCCTGCCCAGGCCTATTTCTTCATTTTTAAAACAAATTGCTTAGATAGGTAAATATCTAAGGACCCTACCAATTATGACAAACGTTAATTGTGTGACTTAGAGTCTTCTGTTTGCATAAAACTGATTTCCCCTCCTTTTCCTTTCCTTACAAAACCGGATTTCCTTCTGAATTCTCTGAGACTTAGAAAGAACGTTGGAAGAGAAGCCAGAAATGATAGCATATAGATTTCTGACCACACACACCCTCTGTCTGCAGAGACAAGGCCATTACCATACCCCAATCCCCAGGAATTAGCAGCGTTTTGGGACTCGAGGTATCAAGACATGTGGCAGAGCTAGGACCTGGCTGCCAGAAGCCATGGAAGGCAGGAACTCAGCCATGGCTCTGCTGCCCAGTGAGGACCAGGCTCAGCAGTCCCCATCCCTGAAGAACTACTCACGCCCTTACCAGAGGGACTGATAGTGCTGCAGGCCATGGCCAGCCATGGGCCTGGCTCACTGTCCTCTAGCTGTTACATCTCCTGGGTAAGGAGGCCTGGTGCTCACCTCCTCCTGCACAGCATAGCTTTCCCTGTGAACAGCCTTCTCAAACCCTAACAGTTTCCAGCACCCCGCCCTGCTGTCCCACCAGTAACATCAGGTTGTCAAGCCATGTTGGGATGGCTTGATGTGGAGGCCAAGGATCCCAGGAGACAGAAGGCCTGTACACATCTTAACACGGGGCCCAGCAGTGGTACCAGTACCTCAAAATCATGTTGGGCTCCTCTCTGAGGCCTGGTGCAGTAGAAGAGGAAGGATGGGGATGGTAGAGCATTTACCTGGCATGCTCATGGCCCTGGAGTGTGATTTCCCAGCACTGCAAAAAAACAAAATAAAAAGCCAAAGAGGCAAGTCAGTTATCTCCTTTACTCCTCCCAATCATCACATGGAGGCTGGCAAGAGCTCAGGCTGGGGAGCCTGTGCAGACTTGGTCCCTGACTTGAGGGAGCTCAGTGTAATTGGGAAGAAGGCCTCTGTGTGATGACTGCATGCGGATGAGGCCATCACAGAGTTTAGCAGGGTGGTCCTGTCTCTGGTTGCAATTGAATCTGGAGATGGAAAACAGTGGCATAGCAAGGGTGGCCAAAGAGAGTTGGGTTTATTTGCTTATTTGTTTTTTGAGACAGTTTCTTGGAACAGAGGAATTTGATGGGTGGGTAGAGTTGTGACAGACAGAAGGCATTTCAAGGTAGCCCAAGAAAAGGTATTAAAGTGAAGCCAGCTGTGCTGCTTAGATGCGACAGACAACTGTTGTCATTTGTGAAAGAAGAGGCTGGGACAGACTGTGGTGGCCTTGAATGGCAGGCTGTCTGGCTTCACTGCAAAGCCTGTGGAGAACCACTTTCCATTTGAGGAAAAAGTGCCTCATTGAAAGCTCCATTTGGCATTCTATCCCGGAGGGCAGGCCAGCTGGAAGACAGTGAGTCTTCGCTCTGAGCCCCTCCATTCCATCCCGGAGGATGGGCTGGCTGGAAGTTAGTGAGTTTGTGATCTGGGCCTCCCCATTATATCCTGGAGGGTGGGTCAGCTGTAAGAATGTAAGACTGAGGGGAGCCAAGACCCAGCCTGGTGCACAAACACACACATCTTGGGAGGATGAAGTCCTAAGCGAGGCCAGTAATGTGCAAGCATCTGAAGCAGCAGCGAGGAGTCAGCTGTGGGACTCAGAGCTCCACTGACAGAAGACCAGTCCCAGCCTCCAATCCAGAGGCCAAGATCAGGTCCATACCCAACACATCTCTGGGATGCAGCACAGACATTAGCACAGGACTGTAAACACTAGAAAAAGAAATTAAACTTAGATGTCCCTACATGCCCACCAGCAGCCATCAGGGACCAGTAATCAGTTCCGGTGGGGAGAACCAGCCAGCCAAGCTACTGTGCACCTTCTAGGATCAGGGGGATCTTGGACTAGCTGCACATGTCTGGAGAAGCCAGCCCTGCACCCCAATGCTGCCCTGGGAACCTAGGATAGGAGAAACTCAGGAGCCTGACCCATTGCCCTTCGCTGTGGATGGACAGCCAACATAAGAAGTGCCTGGGACTCCACCAAGTGCTTGTCTGGAAGAACCAGGAAAATGTTAAAATGAAGAAGCAAATGGCAGTCTTTGGCCTCCAACTCATGCAGAGCAAGTCCAGGCGATGTAAACATGGAAGAGATTGGAAGTCCCACACCTGAAGTTTCTGAAGTGACCAAAGTAAAGAAACAACTTCATGAGGCTATTAAAGAAATTAGCTCAGAAATGCTACTTCAGGTAAAAGAAGAAATAAAAAACACAATAAAAGAATTTCTGAGAGTATCTCAAGAAGACATGGATTTAAAAAAAGAGAGGACTAGCCCTGAATCAAGGCCGGCAGCTTCCTGACGCTGTTGGTTGCAAGCAGGAACCTAAAGAGATGTCTTTCTATGGCCTGTGGCCATTTCAGAACTTGGGCAGTGAAATGGTCAATTCATTAGAAAGAAACAGCTTGAAGAAACCCCACCCCGCCTGGTGAGCAGCTGTGAGTGTGACAGGCTGCGGCAGCCCAGGACAGGAGCCACCAGTGTTACTGGGACCCAAGCCATGCTGGGACCTGGAGTGTTGGGAAACCCACAAACCTTCCCCACTACCTGTTTTGTTTTGTTGAGCTTCAGTATACATGAAGGTGTGGACAGCTATTTTGAGGAAAATGAGAGACTACAACAGCCATTAGTGACTTCCCTATTGTCTGGTTCTGAAGAACTAAGACACCTTCCTCATTCTGTTCAGATCAGTTTTATACTATGCTGTTTTGTATGAATTCTCTGTATGCAAAGACATGGACAACTATTTGGAAGAAAGCAAGAGATAATATGATAGACAGTGAAGATCTCAGGTCATCTAGCTTTGAAATTTATATCTCTTACATTGCTTTCTTATGTCCTATTTTGTTTTGTGTTGTTGTATTTAATTTTACCCCCTTTAAAATAAAAATTAAAAATTAAAAAAAGAGAAGCACAGGAAAATAAAGGAAACCTTCAATGAATAATATAAGAGAGATATAGAAAGCATGAAACAGATTCAAACACATATCCAGGAAATTAAAAACTACATCAAAAGCTGATAAAACTGCTTGAAAGAAACTGAATATAAAATTTCAGACCTTGAAAACAGGTTTGCATGAAAATCTCTTAAAAATAACAAGGAACCAGGAAATAATAATTCAATGGTTGCAAAACAACACAAAGAAAAATAATCTAAGAAAGATAGGTGTCAATGAAAAAGAAGGGGTCAACACAAATGAAATGACTATTTATAGAAGTAATAGCAGAAAACTTCCCAAGCATTGGAAAAAGACCTGACATCCAGGTAAGTGAAGTACATATAGAACTCCAGCTACTTGGAGCTAGGGATTTAGCTCAGCGGCAAAAGCACCTGCCTGGCAAGTGCAAGGTCGTGAGTTCAATCCCCAGTACAGGGGGAAAAAAAATTCCAGCTAACCAGATCAAAATAAATGTATATCAAGACATATAATAATCAAGATCCCAGAAATTAAGCACAAAAACAGAATATTAAAAGCTTTTAGAGAAAAGAAATAGATCACCTATGAAGGAAAACCCATCAGAATCACAACAGACTTCTCAACACAAACCACCAAGTCAAGAGCTTGGAGTGAACTATTTCAAATCCTAAAAGAAAACAATTTCCAACCCAGATTTGATGTACCATGCAAAACTGTCTTTCAAAATTAATGGAGAAACAAGATACTTCCCAACTGAAGGAATTCATGACCACCAAACCAACTCTACAAAGAATACTGAAGGGCATTCTAGAAAGACATAAAAATGACCACAGTTCCAGGAACAGCAGCAGAGGGGGATGGCTAAGCAGGGCAAGCAGTTAAATGGAGAGGAAAAATAGGGAGCCAATATCAGGAAAATAGAAAGACAGAGATGAGCCAGTACATGTTGGTCATAACCATTAATGTAGATGATCTCAATTCACCAATAAAAAGGAACGGACAAAATACATCAGGAGACAGGATCCATCAATATGCTTTATACAAGAAACACATTTAACTCAAAAGGAAATTCATAGACTGAAAGTCAAAGGCAAGAAAATAATCTCCATGTGATAGGGAATAAGGAAAATGCAAGGGTAGCTTGCCCATCAACTGCAGAATGGATAAAAAAGATACGACATTTTCATACAAGGGGAAGCTACCCAGCTGTAAAGAAAGATAACCTTGAGGCTCTTGTAGGTAAATAGTTGCAACTTGAGATCATGCTCATGGGTGAAATGGTTCAGCCACATGGGTGAGCACTGTGTTGTCTCCCTAGTGTGAGCCTGAATGGGATCCAAAATGCACAGTGGATAACTGTGCAAGTGAAATGGAGGGAGGTGTCTGAAAAGGGAAGGTGGCAGCCATCGTTAATTTCCTGTTATCTTGTTTTGAAGCCATGTATTGCTTTCATTGTTGTTTTGTTTGGTTTTATTCTGTTTTGTCTTGTTTGATTTTATTGTATCAGATGGTATGGGCAGTTTTTGTTTTCCTTTGTTTTGTTTCTTTTGGTACCAGGGATCAAACTTGCAACTGTTATAACTTGGGCCCCGGTATAAAATCCAAGGAGGCAAGAGACCGAAAATTTAGGTGGCAAAGGCTTTATTTCCAGGCCTGGCGACCAGTCTCCGGGAGCCAATTTGGAGACTGTGTCCCAGAGACTGAAGGGAGGACTTTAAAAAGGGGCTGGAGGAAAAGTGGGGGAGGGGGGACAGAGAAACCTGCAGAGCCATCAAACTTGTTGACCCAAGTCTGGAAACTGTATTGCTGTCCACTTAGCTCTGACAATCTCGGGAGTTCCTGGTGTTTCTCAAATTACTCCCATCCTACAGACTGACATTATCTCGGAGTGGCACATCTGCAGCAATATTTGGAGAAGAAAGTGGGGAAGTTAATTATCCCAGGACAGCTCGTTTTTGCTAGTGGGTGCGAAGGGGTAAAGAGTTACAAGAAGCTGAAACTTAAGTTTTACAAAGATCTGATATCTAACTCATTTGATGCATACAGAACAAAAGGAAAGCACCGATTGGGGTTTGGGCCATAGTATTTCCCAGTAATTTCTTTGAAGCTAAACAGTTCTTAAAATTGGGGCAGGCTCATTTTATGACAGATCATCACTGGGTCGGGAAGAGGTCACCAGAAACCCAAATTCTTTATGGCCTAGATAGATAGGTGAGGGGAGAGGGAGGCAATAAGGCGCCATACAGAACAGAAAACGGCGGTTATGTGTCAAGGTCAGGGTAAAGGGTTAAACTCATACGCAAATCTCTCTGCACACAAGCAGGTTACTTTAAACAAGTGTAAATTAATGGGCCATTCTAGTTTTCTTTAGCTCTTTAGCGGAGAATAGAGGCGCCTAACAGTGATTAACAACCCTTGTTAGCTTATTTTAGCACAACTTCTGTAGTTTGTAGTGGGCAACAATGGTTAACATATCAATTAGGTTAGATTCTTGCAATTCTTTACAGAGGAGAGTGTTGCTCAAAACATCAATTAGGTCATTTAACATATCAGTTAGGGAAAAAGGATAAAAAAAACATTTAGTAAGCCACGTTTACAGGTTTGCTATAATACACATATAGCGAAGCTATTTTCTTAGAGTACAACAGCAACCTCACACTTGCCAGGCAAGCATTCATGCTGCTGAGCTAAACCCCCGCCTGGGCAGTTATTTCAAAGATAATACAATATATTATGGTAATCACTGTTGATTTTCCATTATCTTGTTTCGAAGCGCTATATGGCTTTGTTTTGTTTTGACTGATCTTACTCTACTGTGTTTGATTTTATTATGTCTGATGGTATAGGTACCTACTGTGAAGATAAGAAGCGGTATTATGGTAGCCATTGTTGATTTCCTACTGTCTTGTTTTGAAGTCCTGTATCACATTCACTGTTCTATTTTGATTGGCTCTACTCTGTTTTGTTTGCTTTGGTCTTATTCTCTTCAAAAAAGAAAAAAAAAAAAAAAAAGCTCCATTTTGGGAGAAGGAGCCTGGTGCTTACATTTGGTACCTGGACTGGCAAGGCCAGTTTCAGACTGAAGAGGACTGGCTTCAGGTGGTGACGGTAGGAATGGTGGCCGTTCTTATTTATTCATACATGGAAGTCGGAAATGTGCATTTTGGTATTATTTCATAGATACACACATATAGATGTGGCTTTGGAAACCCCGTTTCTAAGGTCATTTTCCACTCCGACTGAAATCATTACTATGCTCCCTGCAGAAATCAAGAGATTTGCATCTGGTCCAAGGGTCAGGTGGTCCTGGTAGAATAAGCCTTTGTGGGACTATGTTGCAGCTGGAAAGAGTAGAGAATAGTTCCTGTACTTTCTGTCCCAGATGTTCAGGCTGGGGTGTCTGTGCTAAGCCACGCAGGCTCAAGTAGTGTGGGCACAGCTGAGACCCAGCTGGCCATGAGGGCTGGCACCATTCCTGTCATCAGCTGGCTCCCAGCACAAACTTCAAAAGGCAGAAAATCTTGGAGGAGCAGCTGCTGGATTCCATTACAAAGAAGAGGGTTTTTCTGATGCAACACTAAAATTCAGCAAAGGTAAACAACTGCTTTTGCATCTCAGCAGGAATTTAAGAGAGACTAAATAAAACCCTTACCAGACCCCAGGGGCACCAGTGCTCTGGACTGGTCCTGGCTCTACTGAAAACACTTTAGCGGCCCTTGGCCAAATCCTAGTACTCTAGTGTTTGCCCACCTGCCTTCTTGCCAATAATGAGTTGTATGTGCTTAAAACACTGGATAACCACACAGTGTGGGCCTGGAATTACCTGGGGCCTCTTCTTTCCAGCCAGCTGCTCTGTGAGACCACTCTGGAGATGGTCATAGTACAGTGAGGGCAGCAGCTCCCTAACTCAATGAATAGATGTGCATCCCTCTGTATTCGGAAGTCAAAGCTGGATATGTTGGGCCCACCCTTTCCAGTTTTTATATGGGTAAAAAAGAAGAGGCGGAAAAAAAAAAAAGGTGAAAAGTTAGCCTGTTTTTGTGTGTTTTGTTTTGCTTTTTTGAGAGCGAGCCAGAGAGGATTTCACTGCACAGTCCAGGCTGGCCTTGGACTCCCGGTAATCCTCCTGTCTCAGCCTCTTGAGTGCAGCAAGTCTGTGATCCCATAACCCAGTGCAGACACTTCCTAACCTAGAAGTGACCAATGGGCCTTGTAGCCTGGGAGCGACCTCCTCTGTTCTCTTCTTACTTGTGCCTGGGTGCCAGTGGGACTGTCCTTATTTGAGGGGTGAGAACCAGTACTAACTCATGGTGCAGCCTTGCTACCCTGTTCCTGTGACTGGGGAGGACAGAAGATGAGCACACTAAGCATGTTATAAGTATTTCATTGCCTAAACTCCATTTCCAATAATGTCTCTATAACCAGTGATTCTAGTTCCACCCTATAGATTTACCACTATTTATTTGTACCCACATGTGCACAAACACACCACGGTCTTTTATTTTGCACCAAGCTTTCCATGTATGGCTTGCTACATAGTCTTGTGTGTCTTCTCTGGAAGGTGCTGGAATGAACTCTAATTCGAGATTGCATAGGTGGAGCCTACTGGGAGAAGAAGGTCAACTGCCTGGCTCTTGACTGCCCCTGGGTTCTCTAAGGTCTGATGGGTGGAGCTGGTGTCAGTGGGTCTCTGCTTTGAAAACGACTTTTTAAACGAGGAAGCCGCATCACCAATCTGCTGAGATCCAGGGACAAAAAGGTGAATCTTAAGTGAAAAGAAAATTTGATTCAACTGTTCCCCAGAAAAGTGTGTTTATTTACACGATACCCAGAAAGGACGCTGAGATACAGATTAGGAAGTCCTCGAAGAAAACTGCCACCTTGTGGATAAACAGATAATCAAGTTTCAGAGAACTATTGGTCAACAGAAGCCTTGGCATTTTGGAGAGTGCAGGTTCTGTCTCCCTACAGGCGCTGGCCAGAGGGGCTCACTCTCCCTCTGTCTTCCTTCCCCCCTCACTCCGTATTCGAGCAGAATGAACAAAGCAGTGACCACATTAGGACGTCTTCTAATTCCAGACTTTGCTTTGCATGCGTCCACCTTCCACAGATTATGTTCCTTGGATCTTTCCGTGTAGCATTCAAGCTGAACAGGTTTCTTACTTCCTGGGAAAGAGCAAAACTCCCGCACTTCTTTCGCTCTCACACTCTAAGTCCTGTCTCTGTTTGCCTCCTCCGTGGCACTTTATTGAAAAACGGTGCCGAGGCTGTCAGTGACTGTAGTGTTTTACTTGGGCCTTCAGCCTTAACTGGTACAGAAAAGAGGTTACACGTGTGGGGGCATGCACCCACATGCTGGGAACTGAAATTGAGTGTCTTCCAGTGTGTGCAGTGTATCAGACGGCATAAAGGCCCAGCAGCATGGGAGCGATGGGGTTAGGCCTCTTTCGGTTCCGGTTGATAGTCTGCTCCTCTCTTAGTGCAAGCAAATTCTGCCAACATTCTCCAAGGAGGGCCCCAACACCTGCTGCCCATGTTGGATAGCGTCTGCCTGGGGACTGAAGCCCGAGCAGCTGTCAGTGCAGGAGGCTAACAGGAAGGTGGACAAAGTTGTCCTAGCGCTGTCCCATTGGAGGGCGGGGTGGCACCAGCTAGGGCCACCTTTCACTGACACAAGCGGACTCTGCTCCACAGTGGTGTAAACTGCTCTAAGGAAATAAACAATGTCCAGGTTCATACCACTCTGAACATCCTTTCTGGTCTGACCTCAGAAGCTAAGCAGAGCGGGGCCTGGTTAGTTCTTAGATGGAAATAAACATGCCTTGTGGGGCGCTGCGCTCTGGGAGCCCATATGCCGACTGCGCAGGCGCGGGGGTCAGCGGGCGTCAGGCAGATCAGCTGCGGCGACACGTAACGTGACCCTAGGTGGTCGGCTGTACGTCACCCTCAGTTTCAGGGCCAGGCCCACCCTCGCTCGCATGCCCTAAAACTGGCCGCAGATCCCACCCCTCTGGCAGCTCAACTGGGCGCCTAACCCTGCCCTTCCTTCCCCCTTCCTTCCTCGTACTCCACCAGGTCCTCCAGCTGGAGGAAGCCCAGCCCGCAGCACGCCCTTACCAGAAGCCACACGTCATTTCCGGTCCAAAGACCGGAAGGGCCTTGGGTGCTCCCGTTTTCACCTTCCGACCTAACATCGCTCTCCAGCTGTTAGTTTGGCCCTGGGAACCTTGGAGTTGGGATACGCGTCAGCACGGGCCGCCCTGAGCCGGCGGTGCTGTAACGCTTCCGGCAGAGCCCTGCTGAACTCGGCGTCCGACGCAGATTTGCCTTCCAAGGTGGGCGAGCTCCGGAGGTGTCCGGACGAGTAGCAGTATTTGCTGCGGTAAACTCATCTGCCCGCCAAGATGGCGATGCAAGCGGCCAAGAGGGCGAATGTGAGTACCGGGCCCCTGGCGAGGAGGGGAGGCTTCGCTGCCGACCCTGCGGGGCCGCTCCTGCCTCTGGTGTCCCGTCCCCGAGGCGCGGCAGCCCTGGATTTCCATCCCGTCGGAGGGGCTTCTGTCCTGTTCCCATCCTCGGGGGGTGGCCCATCGCCCCTTTGAGTCCCCTTCCGTCCCCGCGTGTCGGTGACAGTGCTGGCTCGCCACCTCTGTTGTTTGACAGGCGCGTAGACTGGCGTTAGAACCTTGTCCTAAAAGTCCACAGCACAAGTGAATCCTCGGTCAGTAGATGACTCGCTGGTACCGAGATTCTGTAATTCTCGTCAAGCTATGGTGCTTTTGGGGTCATATGTTCATGTGCTAATCCCACAACATTTTAAGCACATGCAGTGTATATTGGGCATGCGAAGTCATCCAGCGGTTACATTTACTGACCGCCTCTGGGCACACCCTAGTCTTAGGCATGGGGATATAGCAGTGAATAAGACAAGTCCGGCTTACAGTGTAGTTTTGGAGAGTGGAGGATTATGGAAACCCTTTAAAAATAAAATTTCAAGAAAAAGTAGGCAACTGTAAAACTCTTAGAAGTATACTAAGATGAGGGCAGGTAATTGACCACTGAGGTGTGTTAAGATGATTTTTGGTGACTTTGGTGACAGGAGTCATTTCAGTGGATGAAAACTTGGTTGCAAGTAGGACGAAAAAATGTAGGATGAAGAAATGAAGATAGCTCTTTGTGTAAGTTTTTATATAAATGAACAGTAGAGAAATTGGGTGAGAGTTGGGTTTTTTTAAAACTGATCTAAACATAACGTTACTTGTCTTGTATACCAGTGAGAACACTCCAGTAGAACAGGTGAAACATACAGAAGAGAGGGTAAATACAGGAGTAAAGGTTTTGAGTAGATGGATTGGAGTAATAACAGGGGAAATAAGTGAATACAGATGAACATACTTTGATAAGTTCAATACCGTAATAGGAATAGAAAGACCTTAATACTTGGTCCTATTTTCTCCAAGCACCAAGAGCCAGAGTGATCTCTTGGAGTGGGCAAGGAAGAGTGTACAACCAAATTGAGATGTAGAGGGAGTGATGGTGGCAAGGTGTGAGGAGAGAAGTAGGTTATGATTGCTTGGTGGTGTTGTTTATTTAAACTTAATCTTGAGTCTTGAACTGAAACGTAGTTTGTCATCACTGCCAGTTTGAGGACAGGGAATAAACATCGTATTCTTCCATTGATATAATACTTAATTTAATGTCAAAGTGATTGTCAGTTTAATAGTTACTGAGCAGACTTAGGTCAGATATGTAATCATGTACATTAACAGGGAGCACAGAGTGAGATTTGGATGAGAGTTACATGTTTGAGAGAAAACGTACATTAAAAAGTGTGAGGAATCAAGCAGGGAATATAAAAAAGTCAAGAAAGAAGTAATGGCCTATAATCCCAGGACTTGGGAGGCTGAGGCAGAAAAATCGATCTCAAAAAAAAAAAAGTAATGGTAAAAGCCTTATGGAACAACATAGTTTTATCAAAGAAGACTTAAGAAGAAATAGTGAAAGTTAGGAGGGAATAGTTGAACCAAGCATGGTGGAGCACACTTGTAATGCCAGCATTTAGGAGGCTGAGGCAGGAGGGTGGCGAGTTTAAGGACAGAGTAGGCCCTATAGAGAGTTTAAGGCTAGCCTGGACTACATAGTAAGACCCTGTCTCCAAAAAAAAAAAAAAAAGTCAGAAGCCTGGCGAGCGTTTGAGACCCAAACATTAAAATAAAAGGTTTTAATAAGTAAAAGCATTTCTAGCAGTGTGCTGAGGTGAAAACTTAGCTGGGTATCAGTGAAGTAAAGAACATGGCTCAGGGAGTATACAGATTTCTTTTTCTTCATGTTTGCCTGAAAGAAAAGTAAGACAGGATAATGGAGAAAGCTGTTACGTTGAGAGAAAACAGAAGTCATATCTTTTTCTTTCACTGTGTACCTTCTCTCTCACACATTTTTTTCCTCTAGTATCAAAGATCCAACTCAGAGCTGGTGTCCTGCTGAGCTCTTTTTAGTTTTAATTTTGAAACAGGGTCTCACTAAATTGCCCAGGTTAACAATGAACTTGAAATCCTCTAACTTGTCCCCAGCAGCTGGGATTACATTTGTGAGCAAGTGTCCCTGGCTTTCACTGTGTATTTGGAATATCTAACCTGGTGTAAACAGACAGGGCACTTAGTGAGCTGGGAATAGTGGCACATGCCTGTAATCCCATCACTCAAGAGGCTGCGGCAGGAGGATTGCTGTGAGTTTGAGGCCAGCCTGGACTATATAGTGAGCTCAAGGACAGCCTGAACTACGTAGTGAAACTCTGTCTCAAAAAAAAAAAAAAAAGTTACATAATTTTTTAGAGGAGGGAAAGGAAGGGAAAATTTAAAAAGAGAGAGAGAGAAGGGAAGAAGGGAAACAAAGCTTCTGTAAATAGGGAGGGGAAGAAAAGTTGAAGGGAGAGGAGGAAGTGGAGAAAAAGAACCAAGTTATATCACATACAGGTCCAAGTTCTCTGTGATGAATACGGTCATTATATATACCTAAAATGAACTAATAAAAATCATTTTCTGTGGAAAAACCAAATCAAAAAGGGCTCTTAGTGAATACGTATTGAATGGATGAAGAGGGATCCAAATGCATGAATTGTTTTCATAAGCATTGGTAGGACACGGGCACCTGCTCGCCTGAGGAACAGGAGAAGCCGTGGGAGGAAACGCCAGTGGGAACGAGAGGAGGCCGTGGACAGGGAGCTCCTAGAAACACAGAGGCCGTTGGGGGAAGTTTCCTGTGCAGCAAATAGAACATTCCGCTTTCCCCTAGATGCCTGCGGAATCAAGGCTGAGGTGCCGTTGGGAGCCTCGCTAAGCCTGGACTCTGCAGCGCTGGGCCGCCAGCGGCTCCATCCACTTGCTGCTCACAGTCTCGTCGCCGCCTGTCTCTCGCACTGTCCCCAGGGCGCTGCACCCTGAGGCGCCCGGGTTGCCCCTCTCCTTCCTGACTTTCTGTTATTGGGTATCGTGGCGATTTTCTTAAATTACAGCACTTTTGCCTTCATTGTTGTGACTGTACGTGTTTCTCATCTTAGATTCGCCTTCCACCTGAAGTTAACCGAATTTTATATATAAGGAACTTACCATACAAGATCACAGCCGAAGAAATGTATGACATATTTGGGAAATACGGACCAATTCGTCAGATCAGAGTGTGAGTCCTACGGAGACTTTTGAGATGAGTTTTTTTTAATTTAAAGGAAAAAAAAGCAAAACAGAAAAAAGCGTAGAAGTAATACAGAATTTAAAAAATTAACACTAAGAAATCACTAGTTGATAAATTACATATTGTCATGTTAGAAATAGTTGTTCAAGTCACAATATTAAAGCATAAAAAGTGGACAATCAATGAGAGTGCAAACTGTTCTGTTCAGTGATCCAACAAAAGCTTAGTAATGTGGTCATCTGTCTTACACACTTAAATATACATGCAGTTATATCCTTTAGAGCACTTTCCTTCCCTTTCTTTTTAACAATAGCTATTACATTTCGGATCTTATTACTCCTACAATTTTTATTACCTTTTATACTTGAGAGACAATGTGATATTTACAAATATGATTCTTATTTATTTCACTTATGAGGATAGTTGCCTCCATTTACCCAAAGGCCTCAAATCATTTAAAGAAAACAATTGCATAATCTGCAATCTTAGATAGCAAGGGTGCCCTGTGGTGCAGTGATATTGTCTCTTTTTTTTAATAGGTGAATCTACCAAGCCAGAGAAAGTAAAATACCTTTCTTGTCTAGTGTTTAATGCTAAAAATCTGACCAAACTGAACCTCCATTTTACACATTCTCATAGCCTGTACCACTGAAAAGTCCTCTGGTTTTTGGTTTTTGCAGTGCTGGGGATTGAACCCACAGCCTTACACAGGTTAAGTGTCCCTCTGAAAAGGCTTTTTTTTTTTAAACTGGGGATTGAACTCATGAACTCATACTTACAAAGCAAGTGCTTGAGCCGCTGAGCTAAATCCCCAGCCCATTTTTTTAAAAAAAATTTTTGGAGACACAGTGATCCTCATGTCTCAGCCTCCCAAATGCTAGAATTACAGGCATGCACCACCACACCTGGCTAAAAAATTTTTTGAGACAGGGCCTCACAGTGTAGCCCAGGCTGACCTCAAACGTGCTAAGTAGCCCAGATTGGGCTTGACCTTGAGATCCCTCTGCCTTCTGAGTGCTGGGATTACAGGTGTGCACCACTATACTCAGCTCGTGTTTTTACTCACGATATTTCTTTCTCAATAAATTTTCCTTTATGATCTGAGAGCTCCTCCCTAGCTTTTAGGACTGTGAGACCCCAAGAACTCTACTTCTGAATGATCCCCATCCCTCCAGACATGCTGCAAGTCCGCGTCACTGATTCTGTGATGGGACGAGAATGAAAGTGTTGCAGACTCGTTGTCTTTTCATCTGAGTGCCAGACGAGAGCTCCAGGCTCTCCCCACACAGCCCCCCACCCACATTTTGCCTACGTCCAGGATTGTGTGCACCCAAGATTGAGAACCTCTGAAGTTACAAGACACGGTGTGCAGAATGTCCCCGACTTGGGGATCAGGAGGCAGGATTCTAGGAAGGCCCTGTTCCTACCCACATGCAAGTGCCTTTGGCTTTCGCATTGCTCTGTGTAAGATAACCTGATGCCACCCTTTCCTCTCTTAATGTGGAGGTGGCATGATAAACATACTGAACTGGTTATTAGGTTCAGACATTGACCACTTGCTAGTTAGGTGAAACTAAGCAGAATAGTCAACCTATCTGAACTTCAGTTATCTATGATACACTGTCTAACCAACCTGTCTTAAAAGAATTTTATTGTGGATCAAATTATACAATATCTGGGAAAGTAATTTGTTATTATTTCCTCCCCAGCATGCATTAGCCACCCGTCTACCTGATCCCATAGCACCTCCCAGGCAGCCATCTTCCTAGTTAACAGCACATGATTTTTGCCCTTGGCCCTGTAACTCTTTGCCAGCAGCCAGTGACTGGTATCCTGTATTCTTTCTGCTTTACCTTGACAGCACTGGTCATGCCTGATAGGTGGGAGGTACCCACGGTATGAGTTAAGGAATAACACAGAAAATGGGACTGTGATTGTGATTAATTCACAAAGGCCTTGTAGAAGCCTGTTGATAGGACAAGGGTGGTAGCTCACCCTTGTAATCCCAGCAGTTGGGAAGCTGAGGCAAGAGGATTTCCACAAGTACAAGGCCAGCCTGGATTACAGAGTGAGGTCAGGTCAGCCTGAACTACACAGTGAGACCCTGTCTCAAAAACAGAATAAAACAAAAAGTCTAACGAGATACTCAATTAAGAGATTTTTAAATCGTTGAAGTTAGAGAACGTTTCAGAAACCCAAACCAAAGGATAACCATGGCAGGCGTCTTTAGAAACACAGGAGTCACTCGGAGCCCGGTGCCGCTGTGTCTCTGCCTCCCTGAATCCTGCAGTTCTGGCTGCAGGGCCGCTTTTCAGAGGGGCTCCCCTCTCCCGTCTTCTCGTTCATCTCTCCGAGTTATTTTCTCCTGGGGGTAATTATTTCACATATGTTTACTTACTTTCCTTTGAACATAAGCCCCCTGGAGGAAGGGATGATGCTTCTGTGTGTCACTTCTGAAGTGTCCAGAGAGATTTTCCCTCTTTCTTTGCTGTGATCAAGTCCTGTGGTGGTTTTTTGTGTGTTAGTTTTCTGTTTTTTTTTTTTTTTTAAATGAGGTCACAGTATATAGCCTAAGCTGGCGATCCTCCTGCCTCAGCCTCCCAAGTGCCGGGCTACAGGCATGCACCAGCAAGCCTGGCCAAATCCTGTTGTCTCCCTGGCACCTAGCAGTGGTGACCAGCCTCTCCCCATTTGCCCAATACTGAGGTTTTCTGGGGTGACACTTTCAGTGTCCAAACCTGGACAGCTCCTGAAACCTACTAGGATGATCAGTCATCCTGCCTGATGCATAGAAGACACTCAGCACTTTGTACTTGTTTTGTTTTTGGTACCGGGTATCGAACTCACGGCCTTGTGCTCGCCAGGCAGGCACTTGTGCCGCTGAGCTAAACCCCCAGCCCTATCACTTTGTGCTTTTTAAAGTCTTTATTTTGTTGCCTTTTCTAATTACTGAATCACACATGAGGCTGGCAGAGGATTCAGCCCAGTGTCACCACGTGACACATGAAGTAGCTGGAGCTCAGAGGCTTCCCTATTTCTACTCTAAGCGGTTTTTTACTGCTTTTCCTGCTCTAAGCTTTACCTACCAGACAAGAAAATATTGTCAGTGTGGTGATGCTATGATATGTACCAAACACATGCTTTTAAAAATTATAAAAAGTATTAAATTATAGCTGTGTATGCTCTGTACACTTGCTAATCTCAGCTGTACCGGAGGCTGAGGCAGGAGGATGGCAAGTTTGAGGCCAGCCTGGACAACTTAGCAAGACTCTGTCTCAGAATAGGAAGACCTGAGGGTATGGCTCCGTGGCAGAGCGCTTGCCCACGTGCAGTGTCCTGGTTCCATCTGCGGTACCCCGGAAATGTCAAGGTTTCTAAAATGTCAGGTCAGCATTTGGGGCTGGGGCCCTTAAGAAGGGGAAGTGTTTTACATTAACTGGAGGCTGGGCTTCAGCTCAGCAGGAAAGTGCTTGCCTAGTAGGTCCAGGCCCGGGGTTCATGCTCCAGCACGGAAGTGCAGAGATGAGATGGGGGTGAGGACCGTGTCTGCGGCAGAGGGAAAAAGCAGCTCCCTGAGAACTGTGAAAGCATCGGTAGGGGAAGGCACGCTCTTCCTTTTACACACGTGGTAGCACTTGAGTGTGCCTGGCATTGTGGGAGGACAATGAAGGTAAGCGCTGCCTTTGTTTTGTCTTTTTGAGACAGGGTCTCTCTACGCAGGTAGCCCAGGCTGGTCTGGAACTCACAGCAATCCTCCTGCCTCAGCCTCCCAAGTGCTGGGATTACAGGTGTGCGCCCTCATGCCTGGCAGCTTTGCCTTTAAACTTAAAATATTAAGTTTGTTGTTTTTGTTTTTGTTTTTTTCCTTTTTGACAGTATTCAACTTCCATACCTAATACAGTGTTTTTCTTTTCTTTTTTTTTTAAGACAGGGTCTCACTATGTAGTTCAGGCTGTCTTTGAACTCACTGTGTAGCCTGGGCTGGCCTCAAATTCAGGGCAGTCTTCCTGCCTCAGCCTCGTGAGTGTGCTGCCATGCACAGCAAACCTGCTGCATCCTTGAGAATGATGGAACTGTTCCTAGTTGTCGGTGCAGCAGTCAGGCAGTACAGAACGCTACGGAGCACCTCACCAGGCCCACACAGTCTGAAAAGTCCGTTCACTGTGAGCACTGGGACTCTGCAGTTATGCCACCCTGTACCTGTCCCGTCCCACTTAGTAATTTAAATCTTCCTGTGTGTTTGCAGTATGTGATGATCAGATCCCTCCTGGGGAGTGGGTGTGTGTTCACAGCTCACTCAGTGCTTTGCACACACAGCACCCCTACCCCCTTCTGTGCACAGGAAGCACCCGCTCTGAGCAGGGCCCAGCCCGGAGCACGCTGCCGGGGCTGCTGCCTTTCCTTGCCCCCCACACGGGTAGGGACTGTGACAGGGACCGAGTCAGCCCTCACCCTGATCCCGCTGCGCAGCTGCACCGTCTGCCTGCCTTGTCTGCTGCCGCAGCTGATAGTCCCTGGGCTGTTGCTGCGCTCAGCGCTCCTGCTGTACCCCACCGCTCCCCGGAGGAGATGCGTGAGGTGGATGGCATGGCGAGGGCACCCGTGCCAGGAGCAGCACTGTGGCTGTAGGAAGCCTGGCTCCCGCTTGCAGCTCCTGGCAGGCAGCATCTGCCCTGGCCCACAGATGAGTGTTCTCGGATACCCATTTTAGCAGAAGGTGGCCCCTTCACCCAGCCTGACAGGGCTGTGTAACACGCTAGAGTTGGATTGTTGTAAAGTGAATGCATGTGGCCTCTTTTGTGTTTCCTTGTTTTGTTTCTTGAGGCAGGGACTTGATGTGCAGTCCAGGCTGACTTCAAACTCATGGCAATCCAGCTTCCTGAGCGCTGGGATTATAGGTGTGGGCCCCGTGCCTGCTGGCCTCTATATGTATTTTAATTCTGTCTGCCTAACAGAAACTTTCTAAGCTCTCCAAAAAGTGTGGGTGGGGAATGGTGGTGTACGCCTGTAATGGGGGAGCTTGAGGCAACAGAATCACAAGTTTGAGCCCAGCCAAACTAGGGAAATTTTAGCTAGACCTTGTGTCGAAATAAAAAACCCAGAGGCCTGGGGATGGAACTCAGTGATAGATGCCTCTGGTTCAGTCCCTAACACCAGTTAAAAAAGTGTGAAAACAGGCGTGGCTGTACTGACAGGGCTTTTACGCTGGGCGCCACCCCCACCCCAATTCTTCTTGTATTTTGAGGCAGGGTCTCCCTAAAGTTACTGAACTGTCCCGCCTGGCTGGCACTCAGAATCCTCTCTCGGTCTCCCTCCAGGCTGCTAGATTCACACGTGTATCACCACGTTTGGCTTTGTGCTGTTTTATTTTGTTTTTTTGTGTACCTCAGGCTGGCCTCGAACTCACTGTGTCCCACAGACTGGCCTTGGACTCGAAATCCTCTGGGTACAGCTCCCAGATCCTGGGAATACAGGCATGTGCCACCAAGCCTGGCCTGGAAAGTGTTGTTAGTATGAGAAACAGGAAGGTTAAGGCCATGCATGTGGAGATGCAGGCCTGGGGGCCACAGGTGGGGAGCAGATAGGAGGAGGCCTCACTGAGCTTTGTTAGAAGTCGCTGGGAGGCCGTCTAAGCCTCTGCAGATTTTCTCCAGCATCAGCAAGACAGAGGCAAAGAAGCGAAGCTGCAGGAGGTCCTGAGTAGCTGTCAGCGGGAGCCCCCGACTTCAGCCTAAGCTGCTTGTCCCAAGGGCCCCATTCATCGCCCCGGCCTCCACCACGCCGAAGCAGTGTAGTACAATCAGAAGAAATCCGGGCTGGGGACCGCAGCCAGCCTGCGGCCAGTCGGACCTGGGAGCCTGGCCTGCAGGAGAAACCCGGCAGAGGCGCTGCGGAGACGCCCCGGCTCCTTCACACGCTCCCTGTTCGTCCCTCCACCTTCACATGAGTCGTCTGCTCTGCCCTTAAATTTGGCTTTAATGTATTACGACGCTGGGTTCGTAACCCAACAGCGGCTCAGTCCAGGTCCAGATGTTACCGAGACCTCGCCAGACTGTCAAGTCAGGCCTTCGCTTGCTGCTGTGCTTTGTGCTCCTGACATTCCTGAGAGCACAGTGCACTGGGTAGGGAGGGCTTGAGCCCAGGCTGGTCTCAAATTTGCAATGATCCTCCTGCCTCAGCCTCCCCAAGTGCTGGAATTACAGGTGTGCACTACCACACCCAGCTTAGTAAACTATGGATATGTTACTTAATATGAAAACAAAATTACCTAGCTCAAGAAATGACAGGCTTATCTAGCATACCTATCCACACCTTTTATTTCTGATGGTTTTCACATTGTTCTCAAAATAGTTAAATAAAATATATTTGACAGGCCAGGCGTGGTGGTTCACACCTGTAATCCCAGCATCTGGGAGGCTGAGTCAAGAGGGTCACTGAGTTCAATGCCAGCTTGGGCTATATAGGAAGAGCCTGTATATATACACACATACATACATACATAGTCAAAAGACTTCTCAGCCAAAAAAGCTGAGCATAGTGGCACACACCTATAATTCTAGCACTTGGGAGGCTGAGACGGGGGGATTACTGCAAATGCAAGGGCGAGCCTTACATTCAAGGCCGCTCTGAACGAAGACCCTGCTGTTAAAAAATCTCTCAGTGCCATCATAGTCTTGCACGCCTGTAATCAAGGCCAGCTCTTGGGTGGCCGAGGCACGAGGCTCTCCACAAATTCACGGCCAGCCTGAATTACTTAGTGAAACCCTGTCTCAACTCACTTAGCAGTGCCCATGAATTTGAGTTACGTTTACTTCTGCAGGGGGAACACACCGGAAACGAGAGGAACAGCCTATGTGGTCTACGAAGACATCTTTGATGCCAAGAACGCCTGTGACCACCTGTCGGGATTCAACGTCTGTAACAGATACCTCGTGGTGCTGTACTACAACGCCAACAGGGTGAGTACCGCAGAGTCCCGTCACCGCGCAGTGAGCAGCCGCAGGGCATGTGCTGGCTGGGGGCGCCATCTGCGGCCGCTGGTGGTGGGGTGGTGGAACGCATGCAGCTGTGGCTCGGGCCCTGTAACATAGGCGCTTGCCCCGCCCGCAGGCATTTCAAAAGATGGACACCAAGAAGAAGGAGGAGCAGCTGAAGCTCCTCAAGGAGAAATACGGCATCAACACGGACCCGCCAAAATAGGCTCTGCCTGTTCACTGTGGACTAACGCTGTGTGGACTGTCACGACTTTTGTTTCTTTTGTTTTTTGTTTTTCTTTTTAATCAATACTGAGATTTGAAAGAACCTTTGATATGTTTTAGACTACGTGAATAAAATTGTACCTTTTCGTAAAACGTGTCAGTGCTTTCTTTGCCCCCGTGTTCGATGTCAGAACTGCAGGTGGCCTTAGCGACATGGGGCTTCTTGAGAGCAGAAATCTTGGTATGTTCTGTAGGAATGGCTGTACTGTCCAGCCCAGTGCCCAGCTGTGTTAGGAGGTTGTGGTCCTGCTGTGTATTGAACAACTATCCATAATCAACTCTTCATAGCAACCTAGAGCTAAGAGTTTGTGAGTTTTTTGTTGTTTTGAGACAGGGTCTTGCTATGCAGTCCAGGCTGGCCTCCAACTCCTCAGCCTCCCAGGTGCTGGGATTCCAGGCCTGGGCTACCATGCCCAGCTCTTATTCCTCTGATTTATTTTTGTTGTTGTTTTTTGAGTCAGGATCCTGCTGCGTAGCCTAGGCTGGCCTCAAACTTGCTGTCTTCTTTCCTCAGCCTCTGGAATAGCGAGACTTCCAGCCCAGTTTAAAGTTAGGAGTTTTAATATTTTCCTCTAGCCAAGGGTGGTGCAGCCCTGTAATCCCAGCACTTGGGAGGCTGGGACGGGATTGCCATGAAGTTGAGGCCAGCTTGGGCTACATAGCTCAAGGTCAGCCTGAACGACATAAGACCTTGTCTCAAAAACCAAATTTACATACCTCTCATTCAGAGCCACTCAGAAGTGGTGTGTCCCTGTGGCTCTACCTCCTCCTGCCCCGGCCAGTGGGCTGTTGGTTACTGGCAGCCCTAGAAGCTTTTCCAGCCCTGCCCCAGGCTAACTCTAGGGTAAAATCTCTTAGTCATGGCGTCTGGACTCCCCTCACATGCACACAATCTACACCATTACAGCCGGCTTTAACCCCTAAATGGGGACTCCTAGGTAGTTACAGGGAATTCTGATGAACATAAGCAATATATCAAGGCTGGATGGGGATGCCTGCAGGCCCAGCTACTTGGGAGGCTGAGACAGGAGGATAACGAGCTCAGGAATTGGAGGGACAGCCTGGGCAACCTAGTGGAACTGACCTTTTTTTTGACAGTATACATAGAAACGAGCTCAGCTTTTTTTTTTTTTTTTTTTTTTGGTCTTTTTTCCTTTTTATCAGTACCGGGGACTAAACTCATGACTGCCTGCTTGCAAGGCAGGTGCTTATGCCGCTGAGCTAAATCCCCAGCCCCTTAGAAACAAGCTCAGAATTACATGTTCTTCTTGGAAGCAGTGCTCCTGTATTAAAGCAGGTCTAGAGGAAAGTAACCAGTACGTGTGAAGTTCACAATCACACACTCTTTTCCAAAGTAACTTCCCAATGCGAGCGTGTTATTCTAAGCTCCAACACACTTTCCTTTGTTCAAACGCAAAGTATTTCCACCTGGGTGAGGGGAGCTCATCCCTCTTACTCTGCCCCAAATAGAGACCGCAAGGTTGCATGTGGCGTTTAGACCCCATTTGTGACTGCGAGGCTGTGGGATCAGCTACACGGAGAAGTCTAAGCCTGTGTCACAGGCTTGCTCCGAGGTTTGGGGGTTTTATTTAAAGGTTGAAAATGTGTGTGTGTGCGTGCGTGGATGTATGTGTATATATAGTTCAAATAGTTGTACTACTGATTTCTCTTTTTTGTTGTCCTTTTTTTTTCTTTTTTTATCCTTGAAATAAAATGAATTTGGAAAAAAATAAAAATAAATAGAAGTTGAGCAGGGGATATAGCTCAGCAGCACAACACCTGCCAGCAAGCACGAGGTCCTGAGTTTGATTCCTGATACCAAAGAAAAAGTATGTGGAGCACCATCCCAGCACCATACACACCAAGGCCCAGCATGAACAGTGCTCCCATTCGAGCTGTCCCCTGCCACTTGGAAGGCTCCTTTCTGCTTTTCTCAAAGGGCAACACGCTTGTGTGGTCCGCTGAGCACTTGCTACTTACCACGACAGACAGGAAATGGTCGAGCACAGGGCCTTTATTTTACATAGTATTTCCAAAGAGGACACTGAGTGAGTGAGCAGCCAACACAGTCGTAGGAGAAAGTGACAGCAAAGGTAACTGGCTCGAGTCCCTCTGTGTACCCCGTGGACACTGCATGTCTGGGCACCTTGTGTCTGGCTTAAGTGACAGTAAGGCAGTGTAGATTGTGCAAACGAGAAATCTGTGTTCTGTGGTCAGGAATGGCTACTACATGCATCACACAAAATGCACAACCTGGAAGGTCTCCATCTGCAACCGAAGTCTCCTCAAGCAAAGATGCGCGAGACCGATGAACACACAGAGCAACTTGGGCAGAGCGAGCAGTGATGCCGCGGACAGTGAGGTTAGCGCACTGATCAAGAGCCCCACGCGGGAGGAGCCGTCCCAGTGGCGGAGCGGGCTGGAAGGGGGAGCAGCAGCCATCGTCAGCCACCTCAGGCTCCTTCCTGCCTTCACTCTAAGTTGAGCAGCTCCACGTCAAAGATGAGGGTGGCATTGGGAGGGATGACGCCGGGATGGCCCGTGGCCCCGTATGCCACGTCAGGGGTGCAGGTCAGCTTCGCCCTCTGCCCCAAGCTCATCTAGCAGGGATGGGGGCAGGTGGGGAGAGGAGAAAGAGGACCCAGCTTGATTCAAAAGAAAAAAGCAAGGTAACTATGGCAAACACCTTCACGGGCACTGAAGATCTGAGGTGAGCTTTGTAAGGGGCACACAGTACAGGAAGAGCCGACCAATTCTGCCTTTAAAAAAGAGACTTTTCTGTGGACAGTGATAGTTTCAAAATTCACTCATCCTGACATGGCTGGTTATTCAGTTAGTGTACGGCTCAAACATTGCTCATAATTGTTCCTTAACCTACTTCTAAAGAAACCTAGGGAGAATGTTTAATCAGGGCTGTATACACTTAAGAAGGCTTAGGGGAGCAGAGGTGTGGGGGAGGAGGCCAGGGCAAGGGATGAGGGTGCCTCTAGAGCACCCTGCGACCAGAGACCAGCACTCAGCACCACAGATGTCAAGAACCTACTTGGTATTAGTAGGACAATTGATAAACTGAATTTTGGATTTCAAATGATCAAAAATTGGAATCAACTGATTAATAGTATTCTGTCTGTTCTGGTTTTGATCATGGTTACGATTATGTATTTGGGGAAGCCGTAAAAAAAAATCCAAGAATTTCCTATTTTTGCAGTAATTTTATATGCTGAAGTAAATTTTCTTTTTAAGTTTTTTTTAAAAAATCACCTCCTCTTACGTTTTCTGCTGCCTGGCGTTTGGGCAGCTGGTTCCAAGCCAGCCCCCATCCAGGGGATGTTTGTGGGAAGGCCCTGGTGAGGGGGGACGCGTGCTGGCCACCAACGGGTCGGGACGCAGAGCCACGCATGCACACTAGGTGGCGCTGCCATGCCTGGTGAGTAGCGGCAAAGCAGCAGTGGTCCGTGAGAAGGTGAGGGTGGAGGTGGGGGTCAAAGTGGTCCCCCCAGACCCTTCAGCTCCTTAAATCCCCTTTAACAAGTATCCTCACCCTACCTGGGCTGCACCCTCTTCGAATCCTTTGATGACTTCCTGTTTGCCAATTCTGAACTTGAAAGGTTTGTTTCTATCTCTGGATGAATCGAATTTCTTCCCATTCTGGAGCATTCCTGTCAGTACAAGAACAGAGCAGACAAGAGCTGTGGTTGGCAGTTAGATCCCGGTTCAGATTAAACGCGTCTAAAATGGGGTTCCTCTTTGCCATCGGCAGGCCCCACATCTCTCTGAAATCCGGTTTTCTCCATTCCTAGCTCCCCACCACCCCATGACCTCACTAGATCAGCATCGTGGGTCACTTGCAGACAGGACGACTCCTAACTGGTCTTTATGTTCTGCTCTCATTTCATTCCATTCTCTACTCTGCACCCAGATGTTTTTTTCTTTAAACACAAATCAAATCATATTATTTCCCTGCTTAAAACACTTCAAGCTGGAAGGGCCAGGGATTTAGCTCAGCACTGTAAGTGCCTGCCTGCCAAGTGTAAGGTCATGAGTTCAATCCTTGGTACCAAAAATAAAAAAAAAAAACACTTCAAGCTGGGTCTGGTGGTGTACTCCTGTAATTCCAGCTGAGGCAGGAGGATCCTCGCAAGTTCGAAATTAACCTGGGCTACAAAATGAGCCCAAGGCCAGTCTGAACTGTATAGAAGACTCTGTCTCAAAAAGAAAAAAAAAAAAAAAGAGCCCACCCCGCCCCCCACTTTAACAGTTCTTCAGGGCAGAGCCCACATGCCCACAGCGCAGACAGGCACTTCACTACCTACTGCCCGCCTGAGAGACTGCTCCCTGCTCCTCCTTCCCTCCCACAGGCTCCCACCCACAACACACCTCTGATTCCTCTGCCTGGCACAGGTTCTGCACACCACTGCCCTGGCCTAAAGTTCTCTTTCCTCTCATATTTCAGCCTCAGGTTGTTCCTAAGGCTTTCCCAAAATGTGACACCCAAAAGTTACGCCATGCCCCACTGCAGTGAGTACACGGCCAATGACCGCTTCCAAACCCGGGTCAAACTTGACCCCAGAATGCCCAGGTGCTGTCTCTAGCAGGTGGAGGCACCCTCGCCCTGCAGCCGGGATGCTGCTCCTTGCTGAGATGTCTCTGCCCAGCAGCCCAAGCCCGAGAACTGCCTTTCTGTTGTCACTCCCTATTGGTGCCCCCCACTAAGAGAGCAGAGCTTCTCTAAGCAACGCTGGTCCACACATTCTGCCCGCAGCCTCAGACCATGGCAAAAGGCCACGGGCCTGCTCAGCTGAAGGACAGCGTTCTGTCTTCAGTCGGGCACGAGTTTAATGCAGGCTCTACTAGCTTAGTGCCTGAGCATCTATGATTTTACTTCTAGATTTCTACAATTTCAATGTGCACTAGAGAAACAGTCTGACTTACCTACCTTTTGGGGAGAATAAATTGGACTCTTGCCCTGGGTTCTAAACAAGGCAAAGGAGAAAACCCTTCCCCTACACAGAGATACACACAGATGGGTGCTGAGATCAGATATATACTTGCACACACGCACAGGTTGCTGAGCTATTTCACTACGCAGAGAT